AAAATAAGCAAATAAGCAGACTACTTCCCTTTTCTTGAGTTAGGTTACCCGATTTGGGCTCTTTATAAAGTCGTCTGTCACAACAAAAGTAGAAAGAGGTTTGCCACAAGAGTGGCAAGAAATATTCTTAAAGTATAAAACACTACCCATGTGCACTGAGGTCCTGGTGATCTCAAATGAGAATTCCACAAACCAAAGGCAGATACTGTATATGGAAGAAAACCCAAAACATAAATAAACAGAAAAATAACTTCAAGTTAGCTCTGTAATATCTAATGATTATAACTTGGAAAACAAAATATTTTACTGTCTTATCTTTAAAATATTAATTCCTTGTCTTATCCTCTGTGATATTATCAATTTATTACACCTTTTATCAGTAGACAAAATGTTAAGTATGGAAAAACTGTACAACTTACCTGTAATGAACCAATAGGATTAAGCTGGTTCTTCGGTTGCTTGGAAGGGTCAGGCATTAAGGGGTCAGGAACTGCAAAGCTAAACATTTTTTAAGTGTTATAAAACAAATTAATAAATGAGAAGGATTTCTTATTTTTTAACTATGCTTTTTTGCTCATGCCATTCCTTCTACCAGGAATGCCCTTCTCTCCAAACTCTTCTATGGGCATCCCATCTACCCATCATCCAAGGTATACCTCAACTGCCACTGCCACCAAGAAGCCTATCCCTTTAAGAAACTTAAAGGGCAGTGGGTTTATGTTAATGGAGGAGGAACAATTCAGAAAAGGAGGGTGAGAATGGTTGCACAACTTGAAGAAAGTAATCAGTGTCATGGAATTGTACCTGTAGAAACTGTTGAATTGGTGTATGTTCTGTGTATATTTGCAACAACAAAAAAGAAAATTTAAAAAAAAAAAAGAAAGCCTATCCTTTTACTCCAGTGGAACAAAATCTATCCCTCCTTTGAATCGGTGGTCCTTAGGGAAATTATTTTACCTTAAATTATACACTCTTACAAACATGTTATTTGTCTACCTTCACCATCCCTCTCCTTTGTTCATACTGTAAGCTCCTTAATGGTAGCGCCTATGTATTACCTTCATAAGCCTTGTAGTGCTTTGTACTTAATAGATGCTCAATAAAAATGTATTTAAATAAACTAAACTATTGTTACAACCACACAAAGAGGGAAGACTAATAATTAACCAGGAAATTTAGCCTGGTAAGGTGATAATACAGATCATAAATATTGTTTTTTCACCTAGATAACTATGGAGGAAAGGTCTTTTTGATCTATCATCTGGTCAGTTCTGGGATAATCCTCTAAGATTTACATGTACGCTGCATAAAATAGATGGCCTGCATGAATTTGGTTTCAGCCAAATTGGGATTATGATTAGGGAAAAGTGAAATATTTCTGGTAGGTAGTTTGAAATTACTATAGTTACTTGGGAATTCAATGCCTAACACTGAATAAGCTGCCTTCAAAGGTTACTACCACCTAGAGATCAGCTGCTAACCAAAAGGTCAGCAGTTCAAATCTACCATCCACTCCTTGGAAACCCTATGGGGCAGTTCTGCTCTGGCCTATGGGGTTAGTATGAGTTGAAATCGACTCAGCAACAACGGGCTTGGTTTTTTTTTTTTAAAGGCAACTGGAGAGTCATTTCTCCATGACAAATCAAGTTTAGTTCTTGCCACTTCCTCAAGTTTCTTTTCTAACTGCCAGAACTTCAAGCCTTATACATAGGTTGATGAGATACGAGTATTCACTTACAATGTTGCATGCTGAAGCTACCCAAATAATTGTGATGGAGAAGTGAGAAAGTCTGTGTATTAAATCATTCGCTCTAGGCCTGATTACAGCTTAGTAATTCCCATCTTACCTGTCAAGAAGCACAAATATATAGTAAAGTTTGTTAGCCTTCTTTTTGCTGACAAAATGAAGTGTTCATATGCACAGAGAACACTTCATATGCTCATTTCTGTGAATAGACTCAACACTTTGTTTTGTTGACCTTTGAGCTGCACAGAAATAGCAGCCATCACGGGGGGCCGGAGCGGGGCTGGACGACAACACCCAATACCTGCTATGCCATTTGACATGTCTTGAAAACTAGCATAAATTAGTTACAAGTATGACCCTAGAGAATCAAGCATCATGTGAGATCCAAGGCTTGTCTCCAGCAAGTGCTTATCTACAGGGTTGCCATGGCATTGGTTCTAAGCTATCCAAAAGGTTTAGAATGACTTAGGGAGGAGCACTGAATGAGAACCTAAATACACTCCTAAGCCAAAAACGTTGCTATGGCTGGGGAAGAAAAAAACCCATCCTAAATTACCATGGGCCTCTGCTGTCAGCTATGACTAGATGATACCAAATTGTATTCGAAGTATATTTGAGTGCATGTAAGAAGAATTTGAAGGCATGCCATGCTCCAAGAGTGTGCCCAGTGGAAACCAAAGGGCACCACTTTATGATACACAAGATGCTCCCGGACCAACACACTTTCCAAAAGTACCTAAAGTGGTAAAAAAAATTTAATTTAGAAAAACATGTCAAGAATTAACATTCCACTTAACATTCTCTTATATTTGATATACATGCTATAATAAAAGGAAATCTCTTTGTCTTCTGCTCCCTAATGAGAATTCCTAAAAGAGTGCTTTTAACTGATCTTTTACCATCCCACACCTTGTTTTCTTCAATGTAGAAATACAAAGTCTTAATAAAGTAAGATATTGGCCAGAAAAAACTCTGGTTTTCTACTGTTGCATCCCCTCTGGTTTTAAAAAAAAAAAAAAAAAAAAAGGTAAAGCCTAGTTCATGAGAGTCTTCATTGAATAGCTATTTGCTGGACTTAATTTCTTTTTATTTTTTTGCTGGCAAAGTTGATTCTGATTCATGATGACCCCCTGTGTGTCAGAGTTGAATTGTGCTCAATAGGGTTTTCTTTTTTTAAAAATTTATTTTGTTGTTGTTGTTGAGAATATACACAGCAAAACATACACCAACTCAACAGTTTCTAAACGTACAATTCAGTGATGATTATATTCTTTGAGTTGTACAACCAACCATTCTCACCCTCCTTTTCTGAGTTGTTCCTCCCTCATTAACATAAACTCACTGCCCCCTAAGGTTTCTATCTACTCTTTCGAGTTGCTGTTGTCAATTTGATCCCATATAGATAGTTCTTAAAAGAACATAATGTTCAAGGCAGGCATTTTTTACTAGTGAAGCTGAACGATTGTTTGGTTTTAAGAAGACTTCAGGGGATATTTTTGGTTTAAGCTTTAAAGATTATCTCAGGGAAGTAGTTTCACGGGTTCATCCACCCTCCATGGCTCCAGAAATTCTGGAGTCCAGGAGTATATGAAATTCTGTTGTGCCTCCCCCTTTTGATCAGGATTCTTCTATAGAATCTTTGATCAAAATGTTCAGTAATGGCAGGTGGGCACCATCCAGTTCTGGTGTCATGACAAAGGGGGCAGTTGTTCATGGAGACAATTAGCCACACATTCCATATCTTCCTCCTGTTCCTGACTCTCCTTCTTCCTCTGTTGCTCCAGGTGAATAGAGACCAACTGTTGTGCTGTGGATGGCCATGTACAAGCTTTTAAGATGCTAGGCACTACACAACAAACTGGGAGGTAGAACAGAAGCACTAAATACATTATTAGGCCAATTAACTGGGATGTTCCATGAAACCATGACCCTAAACCTACAAACCAGGGAATCAAATCCCATGAGGTGTTTAGTTGTTCATAAGCAGCCTCAGCAGCTACTCTTTGTTGTCGTTGTTGTAAATATATCTATTACACAACTTTTGCCAGTTCAACTTTTACAGCTCTACAACTTATGGACAACAATTACAGTAATCAGCTGTGCAACCCTACCGTAAATCAATGCAATTTTTTTGGACTTAATTTCTTAAAGTTGTCTTTAAATGGATGACAGATTTTAACAAGGAATAGAATGTTTAAGATACTAACAACTGTTCACTTTGTTGCTTTTGTAAGTATGTTCAAACTTTCAGTCTTACCTCAGCCATGATATTTTTGAGCTGCAGAATACAAAGAAATTTAGCTCACCAAATACTTGCATTGGCTTTCAAAATGTTTATGGCAGCCTCTGCAGCTCTATGTTTCGCCAGCTTCTTACTTGTACCTTCACCTGAATTAAGGTTAAAAAATATATATATTTATAAAAAATTCTTTATACCCATAGGTGTTTTCTTAATACAAAACAAAGTCACTACAGGTTTTATATATATACACTAGGTAATAAAAAACATACACTACATGCAGTTATAGTAATAAAATACTGACCACGTGAAATACATTAAAATACACAATTTTATAAGTTCTATATATTTAATCTATGCATACCTGTAGAAAAACCCTTATCGTTAGCCACACTCCTCACTTATTAACATGGTTAGGTTCTGAAGACCAGGTTGTTATGCAAAAATCTGCGTTATGCGAGGACGAAGATGACCGGACCCGTGGGGATGCAGGGCATCCCGTGGCAGTCTTCCATGCCCTTTGGAGCTGGTGGGTGAAGCGCCGACACCGGCAGGTCTGCTCCAACCCCCTCCTCCTCCTCTTAGCCCTCGTTCTGCTCCTCTCCCCTTGCTCCCAACTACTCCCCTACTTCTTCTCATTCCTTCTTTCTACTCCCTCGGTCTTCTCTTCCCTCTGCTCTCTGGTACGCTGGGTCCGGAGCTAGTTGGAGTACGGAGGCTGGTGCCAGAGCACAGCTTCTCAGAGCCAGGCAAGTCTGCCCCACTGGAGGGACTTGAGTGCGCAGCGGGCGCAGGCCCAGGTGGGACTGCGCGGGACTGCCCAACTGGGGGCCTTTCCTGCACAGCCACCCCATTCCCAGATGTGCCGCCAGCCCTCCTGGTTGACCCTGGCCGCTCCACGATACCGGGAGCTGCTGGGAGCTGGGCACCTGTACCCGCTGGTGGGAGGAGTCCTGGGAGCCCAGGGTGCTTCCCCCATGCAGGCTGGGGCTGGTTCAGGAGGTCTATGGGGGCCGGGGGGGGGGGTGACAGCATGAGTTACCGCACTGGGTGACACCAGACCTCGTGACGCCACTGCAGCCAGCGTTACTCTCGCATGGCATCTCAGCATTCATTACTGCCACACATACGTCATTAATGTGAAAATAGTGGATTTTTTACTATTGTCGTAAATACAACATGTTGGAAAACAAGATAGTCGATAAGTGAGGAATAGGTGTATTTCTACATTATAATTATTGCATTAAATTGTAATAAAGTAGACCATGTCAATACAATGAAGTATTTTATTCTTCCCTTATCCTGGAGAGGGAGTAATTTTTTCTGCAGCAAGAATTGACTTCTTGGATGGCAGCAAGTAGTTTCTTTTAAAGGAACCATTTGCAGCAGAACTGTTTGACAGAAAAATGTGCATAATTTTATTTTGACACTCCATCCTGTACTGGATCAAACCCCTCAGCACTCATGACTACACATTGGGCATACTGGGGGAAGGTTTATATACAGAAGGTAATAGCTTACGTTATGTGTATTCCATACAACGTCTATCCCTTACACGGGTAGATAAGAGGGGATAAGAGTGACTAGTCATTAAGGCTGATGTCTACACTTCAGTAAGCAATATTAGTAAATTGTAAATTTAATCTTTTTCCTTCTGAGTTCAAACTAGGTGTTGAAAACCCAGAGTGCTGACATCCATTTCTTTGGTGTGGCGGGAAGAAAAGGGGGCATGTAAGAGGTTTCAGGTGTGACTATACAAGTGTAACAGGACACACAAACTGTATTTGTTTATACACTAACATAGATATTAGGGATACAGAGGATCCTGCATACAGAACACAGCCTAGTATGGGACTCCATCTGTAAGCCGGCATGTGAAACATGGAGTGGTAAGGCAGGCCTAAGTGCAGGGTTCGGGGAGCACATAAGAGGGGCAGCCCCTCTACTCTTGGGGAGGATTCAGACAGGTTTCATGGAGGAAGAGTTAACAGAAACCTGAAAGATTACTAAAAGGTAGTAAGGTGAAAAGAGCTGGGGGATTAGAAAGAGCATTCTAGGCAGAGAAAAGACCATCTGGAAAGGCTTAAAGACAACACAAAACACTGTTCTCAAGAGTCCCAAGTGGTTGGGCATGGCTAAAATGTGACAGCTTGAGGGAAGAAATTTTGAGATAAAAGGCTAGAGAGTTGGGGGTGGGGAAAGAGATCGTGTATATTTGTGCTTCTCAAACTTTAATGTACATAGGAATTACCTGGAAATTTAGTTAAAATGCATACTCTGATCCAGAAGGTCAGGAATGGGGCCTGATATTCTGCATTTTCATCAAGCTCCCACGTGCTGTTAATGCTGCTGTTCACCACACTTTGAGAAGCAAGGTTGTAAGTCATGCTATGAAATCTGTATTTATCCATGGGGAAAACCATCGACTGGATTTTAAGCAGAGAAATTATATGAACAGATTTGAATTCTAGGATGAACATTCTGGTTGTAGTGTGGAGAATGAACTGGGCATTACAAGACTAGAAGCTGAAAGAGTATCTACGAGACTAGCTGTAATCCAGGTGGCCTGGACAGTAGCAAGGGGAAGAGGAGAGAAACAGATTCAAGAGAGATTTAGGAGGTAGTATTTGGTTATAGACTGGACAAGAGGGAGAGGGAAGGGTCAAGAAATTGAAATTCAAATCTTTAGTGTGACCAACTGGGTGATGGTGGTGCCTTTACTGAGATAGGGACTGCAGGAGTATAAGTTTTGGGGAGAAAAAGATGGGTTCAGTTTGGGACAATGAGAGTTTGAGGTGCCTTTGGGTTATACACGTGAAGAGGTCTATCAAGCACCGGCTGATACACTGTTCATAACTGGGCCTAGACAGAAGACAGAGATTTCAGAATTATCACACTTTAGATAGTATTTGAAGCCGTGATGGCAAATAAGCTTGTACAGAAAGACAGGGCCGTATGTTAAGAGAAGGGCTAGCAGGCAGAATGGTTGCCATAGGTTGTCAATTCCTGGTCTAAACCACAGTGAGGTGAAAAAAAGGCTACCTTCTCTTGAATTTTCACTGAGTATTTAAAAATAGACTAAATGAAGTAGTAATGAAATGTTGACTCTATGGTTCATACAAGGAACCTTCCAGCCAGCACCAACAATCCACCTACCTCACATACACAAAAAAACTTAAAGATTTTCTTAAAGTGACTTCAGTGAAAATAGCGGATTTCCAGTAACAAAAGCAAATGATGCCTTCAGATTACCAGATAGTGGCACTTCAGCCTTCTGACTGAATTTTTTTTTTCTCGGTATTTTTAAAAATTTAATATTTTGTGTTGGCAATTAAATAGATCATGATTAAAAAAGATAATAAAGTCCACACTTACAGATGGGCAACTTTAGTTACCATTTGCTCATGTTCACAGATCATTATAAGGTGTAAATCTGAACTCTGAAATTTCATTGCTATGTGACCTTGGGCACTGTCATGGATTGAACTGTGTCCCCCCAGATATCTGTCCATTTGGCTAGCTCATGATTCCCAGTATTGTAAGACTGTCTACCATTTCATCATCTGATGTGATTTCCCTAGGTGTTGTAAATGCTATCACTATGATGTAATAAAATGGGTTAGTGGCAGTTATATTGATGAGATCTACAAGATTAGATAGTGTCTTAAGCCAATCTCTTTTGAGATATAAAAGAGAGAAGCAAGCAGAGAGACGTGGAAACCTCACACCACCAATAAAGCACTTCTATGAGTAGAGGGTGTCCTTTGGATCTGAGGTTCCTGCGCAGAGAAGCTCCCAAACCAAAGGAAGATTGATGACACGGACCTTCCTCCAGAGCTGACAGAGAAAGTGTTCCCCTGGAGATGACGTCCTGAATTTGGACTTGTAGCCTACTGGACTGTGAGAGAATAAACTTCTCTTTGTTAAAGCCATCCACTTGTGGTATTTCTGTTACAGCAGCACTAAATAACTAAGACAGGCATGTTACTTATAATCTTTCTGAACCTGTTCCCTCATTTATAAAAAAAGAGGATAATAATATCATATATAAAATACCTGTACAATTTCAGGAACTAAAAGTTGCTGTATTTGTGAAGCTTCTGCCTTTCCTCATTTTGCTTGGATACAGAATCAAGTGCAGTACAACACACTAAATGAGTCCAAAGTACGTGGGAGAAACTCAGAAAATTCTGGGGTCATGCCTCCTGGCATCTGCTGTAGTCTATAAAACAGCCTTAACAGCACCTACTGATTCAGCTATGGCTGCTCCAAGAAACTTTCCTAATTCCTAGGTTCTGAGAGGAGCCTTGCAGAAGGCCTGGATAAGTTTTTTTTCTTTAGTTTCTGAGCTTCTCTTGGTATCCAGAGAAGAGAAAATAAAGGAGAAAATCAGACTAAGTTGAAATGTCCCAATGACCTTAGACGGGGTGTCTCGGTTTCAAAAGTGCCTTTTCCCCATAGCTGTTTCTGGCAAAAAGAACACCTTTCCGAACTGAAAAGCAACACCAAGTCTTGACTGCCAACCCGCATGGTCATAGGGGTTAACTGTGCATACAGACCTGTGCAGGTTATGTCACCAACGGTTACTCTGAAGGTGAAAGTGGGCACATGTATTTGCACATCTGATCTTTCACATTCATAAACCGGGATGTTCTTGGTCTTCATGCCGTATTCATGTAATACCTGAATCGGTGTTTTCCCTGGCTTAGCTGTAATCATCTTCCCCAAACTGCAAAGACCAGAAAAAAGGTGTGCTTTGCATGCCAAAGCGTGGAGGGAAGCAGAAGCATACAAAGGCCAGTTTTGACAGCCACCGACTGTGACAGGGGAGGTGCCTCAGCTCCCAGGCAGCCGGAGCTGGCGAGGCCTGGGTGCACCTGTCTCCCGGCCCTGCTGCGGCGAGCACTGGGCAGGGACGCGCAGGGTGTGGGAGGTCTTTAGGGAGGTAACTGGAATGCAGGTAAGGGGGGTTCTCAGGGGAACAGGGCCGAGGCTGGTACTCAGGTCCAAGCTCGCAATCGTTTTCCCGAGATTGGGCC